TTAGAGAGCCTGTATATAGGACAGGTCAGATCATTCTTTCCAAACCAAAACAGCTTTCATCCATCACTAACATTTCTGGGTTTGTTTCTGTTTTATTATAAATATTCGAAGAAAGATAAACAGACAAGAAAGACTGTTTGTACAGTACACAGACCCCGATAGAAAATACAGAATGGGGAAGAGCCAACAACCAGCAAGATAACAAGTAGGGCCCAACGCGGGAAAGGACCAGCTGGTGGCAGGTGCCCTCCCGGGTCGCCTTGAGTGCAGAACAGTGTAGCCTTCCGGCTGACAGGCCTGCGCAAGCTGGCCTTCCTTCCACAGGGTGAAAGGGCAGACGTGAGAAATGATTCATGGGGCATTCACCTCAGTAACCCAATACAAGAAGCTTGCTATTGATGGAGATATCCTGCTTTTAAAACCACCTTGCCACCCCAAATGTGATCTCACAATAGGACCCCACTGTCAGAACTCAGGCCCGGAGTGGGGTTAGGGATGTGCACCGCTGGGCCTGGGTCAGTTTCCCTCCAGGGGCCCTTCTCACCAAACCCATGTTCCTCCTGAGGCCGGCAGCAAGGTTTAAAAACACTCCTGTCCTGCACTGCACTGTCATCCACTCGTGAAAAAGAAAATATTTAAAAAGAATTCGAATTCATGAGAGAGAAGGTCAGCCAAGGACAAAACTGGCGTCCTTCCCAGGAGTGACCAGGGGACCACCGGGGGCCAGCAGCTCTACCTCATTCCCAAACGGCAAAGTCAGGGAGTGAAGCTCATCACCTCCCAAAGGCGTCCTTACTTTAGTGTGTTCAGAACAGCAACGCTGTGAGGACTGTTTGATTCAGGTGGTGGTGGCAGTGGGAGTGGTGGCAGCAGCCATGTATTTCCTGCTCCCTCTAACTTGTTTAAGTTTATAATCAGAGATTACATAGAATTTAAGTTTTCCATCAGAAAATGAAAATTCTCTACATGGAATTAGGACAGGCCAGATCATTCTTTCCAAACCAAAACAGCTTTCATCCATCACTAACATTTCTGGGTTTGTTTCTGTTTTATTATAAATATTTGAAGAAGTAGAGTCCTACTTGGTGAAAACCAGTTGCGGCCATGCAGCTGCCAAGAGACGCATCCCTTCCATTGAGCGAGGGCTCCGGGTCCTGCAGGTGTCAGACACGCAGGAAGGGGCGGGCAGCCGTCTGATCAGGCTGCATTACGAGGGTTTGCAGGTGGAGGAGGAGTTCAGTGCTTTCCTGAGGCTGCTTGGCTGTAGCCCAGGCCGAGGTGAGGGCTGAGGGTTCCTGGCTCCCAGGCCTGTATGTCGGTGACAAGACCCACACCTTCCAGGAACATGGCAAACCTTTGATTGCTTGAGGTCATTTCATTAGTAAACACACACACACATGCACACACACCCACATTTGCACCCAGTCTCCTATCTGTTAACAAGAACTCCCCCAGCTACGATAGCCGTGGGCCTGGCTCCCAGGCAGCTGCGGAGTTTGGTAAAAGGAGATGCAGGTGGCAAACCGTGGGGCACACACAGGGTGCCCTCCTTCCTCCTCTGGCTGCTCCACCAGCAGCTGCCTCTGCTCCGCAGACAAGGCCCCGAGAGGCTGTGCCCACTGTCCTCTCACATGTCTGTTCCTTCGAGGACACACTCACAAAAGACCAAACCAAACCAAGAATAGTAAAACCGAGAAAGGAAAAAAGACACGTTTACCCCTGGAACCAGTGAGTTAACTGGTTGGGGCTCTGGAACTTGACTTTAATGGGCTTTTGTTTTGAGACGCCCAACCTTTTCTTCCCCAGACGCTTCTGTCCCTGTGCCTCCCCACCCCCCTCCGCCCATCACCACCCAGAAAGGAGCTCAGCCCCTGGAACCCAAGGCACTGGCCGCTCCATGTCCTAAAATGTAGGAAAAAGGGTCGGGAATATATGGACTTCCAGTCCCTTACCCAGCCTGCCTTCCGATAAACAAGCAGAGAAAACAGAGAATGGAATGGAGGCGAAAACAAGAGCAGGTGGGAAGGAGAGAAAATGGAACGACATTAACAAAAATATACAAACCCAGAAAAGGAAAACTTCCCTGTGGACTTTATTTTTTTCCTTGTGAGAGCTAGACCCCGAGTACAACAGCCCCTTCCTAACAGGGGATTCCAGGGCGGCCCCACCGAGTCCTGGAACTGGTCTGGGCAGGGCCCCGCCCGTTGGGAGACGATGGGTCCCCGTGATCCTGGTGGGGCGCCCCGTCCCCACGCGGTCAGCGTCTGGAGCACCCAGCTCCCCGCTCGGGCGCGGTCTCTGCTGGGCGCTGGGCTCTTTGATCCGTTTGTAAAGTCCCTGGATCCGGATCCGGAGGACGCGTGGGCGTGGGGAGCCCCGCGGGTCG